CAGTCCCCCATTAAAGATGACATAAACAGGTGGCCATATTTTCCTGTACTAAGACTTCAGTGATTAGGTTTTTTTTCCCCCCCCCCGCCATTCATTGTGTCTCTCAGATGGGACCAGAGTCTTGTTACAACTCCTGAGGGCAGACTTTGCTCCCTGTATATGCCCAGGTAACAGGTAGCTGACCTTTGCTTGTAGCAGCACAACGTGGCTCACCTGCCTAACGGTATTTTTCTTTACTGTATGAACGATTAAGAATTCTGGTAGAAATTTAGTAGAAGCTGTTGTCTTTGCTGTTGACACGCTGTCTTCCTTAAGTGCCAGGAAGAAGTTTGAGCTGAACTTCTGGTAAGCTGGAAGATGCTGTCTCTCACAGTGCCTCTGTGTTCCATACCTCTCTCTTTGCTATACTCCTCAACATTTGGCAGCATTTTCAGCACATATGCTGCAGGTTACTTATTACCCCTGCCTCTGGCATAAAAACCCAGAAAGTTAACTTTCTTCCCACTTTGTGTTTTGCAGACCATTAGATTATTTCTGATGTCTACATCTCTGCATTCTGTGCACTTGTATAATTTATTTTTGCAAAACTTGCCACTTTGACATTTTTAATTTAATTTAGAAGAGATCTAGTCTGGGAATCTCTTGCTGGCAGGGTATTTCTTTCTCTTTCCCCTCTCTACCCTCCCACTCTCTTGGAGATGTTAGTGATTTACCCTTCTTGTGAAAATGACTGTCTCTAAATTAGAAGCACACACAGTGCCCACCATCTCAGGAAAAACATGCCATATTTCATATATTGTTCCTTTTTTCCAGCTGGATCAGAGAGTCATACGAGTTCCTCTGTTTTTTTAGCTTAGATTTCTGTGGGCATTTCATAATCTCCTGTTAAGAAAGAACCGAAAATGTCTTGTAAATTTACAGCTGACTTTAGTTGGTATCACTGAGGCTGTAGTCTTTTGCTATAGAGCTGGCCAGTATCTCCATTTCTTTTCAGTCATAGGAGTTTATGAAAGAAAGGTAGAACTCCTTGCCAGCTCTGAGCTGATCAGTTTAAAAGGAATGTGAAAGCCATAGTCTAGTCCCCCTAGTGCCTCCTTTCCAAGTTCAGGCATCAGTTGATCTCAGCACAGACACAACTTCTAGCTCAGGAGACTTTGAAAACACAGATTCTTAGGAAATTGGGAGGTTATTTTGGAGAAACTTTATTTCATGTTTTTTTTTCTTTTTCCTTGTGCTCTTTCCCTGGGCATCAACTCTAGATTAAAGAGCTAGGACACTATGCTAGATGCACCTTTGGTCTGACCTGTATGACTGTTTTTATGTTCAGTTTCTGGAAACTGCTGTTGGATCTTTCTCTTACAATGGTGCCAAGATCCCCAGTTGTGGCTATTCTTTTTGAGTTGGAAGTAACATCACATCATTCCCTCTCTAGATTGTACTACCAGATATCATTATACCTGCTCTCTCTGTTATCTAATTCAGCTGTTAATAAGGAATATTCCAGAAAGCCTAAAAGACAAATTCCCTAAAGGAAGAGCTGAGAGAAATCTAGATGGTGACTACATCTGTTGCTACACTAAGCTCAGTTTATGCCTTATCTTTACCACACATCATCTTTTATCACACCTCCTGGAACAAAATGAGAGAATCATTTGAAACATCAAGAAATTTATCCCTTCTTTTTTTCTTCCTCTTTTGGGGAAGTAAGGAACCGAACAAATACAGATTGTAGACAGGATTAAACTGTTGAATTCTAAGTGCTTTCAGATTTCTCCCAGCTAGCCTCATAAGAGAGGCTTCAAAGTAAAAATGTTTGTGGACCTCCAAGATAAGGTATTCAGTCACTTTCTTTTCCTCTTCAGAAAGGCAGCAGCTAGTGTGTTGTTCTAGACCATGTGCAATGCCTGGAGGTTAGTGTGTGGTTTTGCACTTAGGATATAGCTGTTCTGTTTTACAGATCACCTGGACAGCAGCCAACACTTCAGTTGTTGCTGCTGATATTAAAGAAAGTGCTTATCCGTGGCCTCTGCGACCCAGCATCCTTAACGTGCCTGCCTCTTTGTCCCGATTACAAGTATTGGTTCAGGATCATTTGCCTTAACCTGCGAACACCTCAGTCCAAAAATTCTGCATTTCTTCACTGTTGTAGGCTTTGAAGACAGTAGAATATAGTCCTCTTTCACCCTTACTCAAAATGCCTAGTTCATAAAGGCTGTCCTTACAACATGGCTGCTATTTAGCTCTTACCTGCACCAGGACAAATTATTCAGTATGCTGCTCCTGGGTTTGTTGGCTACACACATGCTGGAGGGGATTAGCTATGGTTTTGTATTTGCACCTCTGCTGTGCCTCTTGCATGTAAAACCCTTTCCCAGGTTCTCTAGGTGTCATTGCAGGAGTGACTTGATCTGAGACATGGAGCCTACATAACATTAATTACAGTGCCTTGGGAAAACTCTGTCTTTTTCAGGAAGACAAGAATGCCTGACACATCTCTTTTATTTATTTCTTTATTTATTTTTTTTAATCAGGGTTTTAATCGCTTTTTTAACCATTTTCAGGCCTAAGGTTTTTTGTTTCACTGCCCAGTGTCATTCCAAGACTAATGTTCAGATAGTTACTGGAGTGATTCAATTCCAGAACAATGTGCTTAGCATCTTTTCCAGTACTTGAAATCATCACAGGATTCAGAGTTAATGGACAACATTACAGCAAGTTACTAAATGAAGAACAAAACGGAATATACTTATTGCCTCTATCCTGAGAAGTAACTGGAACAGTTACTGTTCATACATCATGTGGAACTCCACACTGGTTGACAAAGTCATTGTAGAGTTTTGGGGTATAGGGTCTGTGGACATCAGAAGTCTGTTATGTATAAACTACATCCTATGACTATGTTTAGTAAAAAGTTCACTGTGCCATTTAAAAATACGTTTTAACTGCCTGGTATTTACACGCTGGTGTCTAATTGTGCTTTCACATCACCAGATTCCCTCATGAAGGGGGAGTTGGTATCTTGGTATTTGTTCAGGATAAAAAGACATTTGGGGGAATTACTTTTCCTGAAGAGTTGTTTTCTTGAACTGAAGACATTGTGGTTTAAGCAAAATGTATGTATGTGACTGTGTGTACTGGATTTCCTAAAGTCTAAGTCCTGATAGTTACTGGATATTTTTTTTTTTTCCCCTCTGCTTATGTTAACAAAAAAGAACACATCAGTACCTTCACTGCTGGTATTATCTTATGAATAAACCTCTTTGTATAAGAAAAGAATAAAAAGCTTTACAGGTATGTTTTTAGTGGTAAAGAATACATAATCTTTGTAGACTTAATGTTTTTGTTCCTGTTTGCTTCTCAGCCAACCAGGAAGTCTTAAATAAAGTAGAGGTTCAGTATGAGACACTCCCAGGATGGGATACGGACATAGCAAATGCAAGGACATTTGATGAGCTGCCTGTAAATGCACAAAATTATGTTCGCTTTATAGAAATGGAGTTAGGTGTTCCTGGTAAGTAAACCAGATTTTGTTGTTGTTGGCTTGTTTTTTTTCCTGCTCCATGAAACCTATCTTGTGCTTTGCCTTGATAAACATTCAGAATATTGAAAACTAGTTTGTAGCTGTGCTTGTTCTGATGTAACTGGTCATACTGGTAATTATTGTTTTACTTCTTTTTATCTATTTAGCTGTTGAATTTAAAATTTTCCAAAAATTTAATATGCATTCATTCTTTCTTTGACTTATACTATAGACCTTGTTCAACTGAGATTTTTATAGCTTGCTTAAGTATTTTTAAGATTGGTTATCTTAGGAGTTTAGTTCTGCTACCATTATAAAGTCAGTGGGATATTAATGCAATTAAATATATGGACAGTAATATAATTAAATATATAATATAATTAAATATATGTGACAGTAAGTCCTAAACTAACACATTTCTCTTATGCTCCCTAATAAAGATCATAGAATGGTTTGGGTTGGAAGGGACCTTAAAGACAATCTAGTTCCAGCCCCCCTGCCCCGGGCAGGGCCCCCTTCCCCCAGCCCAGGGGGCTCCCAGCCCCGTCCAGCCTGGCCTTGAACCCTTCCAGGGAGGGGGCAGCCACAGCTGCTCTGGGCACCCTGGGCCAGGGTCTCACCACCCTCACAGTAAAGAATTTCTTCCTCATATCTGATCTAAATCTACCCTCTTTCAGTTTAAAACCATTACCCCTCTCCCTATCACTACACCCCCTGACAGAGAGTCCCTCCCCTCCTTCCCTGTAGGCCCCCTTTAAGCACTGGCAGGCTGCTATAAGGTCTCCCCAGAGCCTTCTCCTTCTCTGGGCTGAACAACCCCAACTCTCTCAGCCTGTCAGATGATCCTGTGGTTCCATCCAAAGATGGGAATTAGGAGATGATGCAAATCCTTACTTTTCTGACAGTTTCTATGTATCTTTTGCCCTACGATCTGGAAAACTGATCTGTTTATTATGTCAGCTTCAAGACCATTCCTGCTTTTCTAAGTTACCAATGCATTCTTAGTTTGAGAACAGTAGACATAGTTATAATTTCTTAACATACTAATAGTATATGTTGTGTTTTTCTTCAGATCTATGGTACTTAAGATCTTAAGCACTTAGGAAGACAAGTTTGTATCTTAAGATACAGTCCGGTCAATCTTGCTTTGTATTACTTACAATAAAAGTTTGCTTTTCTCTCCTGCAGTTAAATGGATTGGAGTAGGGAAATCCAGGGAATCAATGATCCAGCTGTTTTAAAGATTTCAGATGCATGGAAGAAAGCACACTCCTCAAAAGACTGCTCATTCTTAAATGCATTAGTAGCCCGCAAAGCAAAGATGTTGGAAAGATAGATTTTTGCATGGAAAGAAATGCTAGAGTTGATACCCCCAAATCAATCGCTACTCCTGAAAGAGACTTTAACATGAACCTGTATCAGTTCTTGTTCAGCTGCAGTTTCCAGGACACTTGTCATTGTTGTTCAAGGTGCCATCAGATTTTTTTTTTTCTTTATCTAATATTTACTTCATAATGTAATTCCTGTTTGAAAATCTAAGGTAGCATTACTTTCATGACTGTTTGTTATCCTCTCTCTGCTTTTGGCGGTGTTACTTCCCTGAAATTTTAGACAGTAAAAATAATGCAGTTTTGCACAGATAGTTTTACATCTTCATTGTTTGTATTCCTAAAGCTGTTGTATTCTTAATGGCTGTTCTTGTGAGTAATTAAAGAGGGGGGATTCTGATTTTATAATGCTATAAATGCTGTCTAAATTATTGTGTGATCTGTTTTTTAAAAAAAGATGTGATGCCAAGTTGTTAAGAATGTCCAGATTTTTTTAGCTGTATAACACAGAAAACTTACTCTTTGTAACTCACAGAGGACACTCACGTGTTTACCAGGAAGTGTGCCCAGAAAGTTAGAAAATTGATATTGTAAAAAGTTCATTTGCGATTATTAAAGAACCATTCTGATTTTGAGTTAAATGTTTTATAATGTTACTCATTTTTTTTTTTCTGGTATTTTAAAAACCCTGCAGTTCTCTACTTCCAAGGCACATATCTCAAACTGTTTCCATAATTAAATGAGGTTACATTTATATTTGGTGAGAAGTCTAAAATTTTGATGCCCTTTTAAATTCCTTTCTACATACCCAATAGACTATCTTTCTCTGCAGAACTGGCAAAGCAGAGACGCTTTTGTAATTATAAATTGAGGATGCTTTAGAAATAACATATATTCAGTGTGTTTGCTTTAGAAGTAGGGAAAATAACCAGTATTCACCTCAAGACATCTGACATATTTTGGCTTATTGGGAAATGTTCTAGAATTATTTTAATTTATAACCATTATATATTCCAAAGAATCTGATTTCTTTTGGCAACAACCCAATAATTACATATTCCTGTTCCAGATTTTTTAAGAATGAGTGTTTTTACACACTATACTATGATATTCATGTGCTTTCTTTTCACTTAAAATAAAACCTAGTTTCCTAAAAACAAGTTTGTATCAGGGTGGGGAGGTAGTTTTAGGTTTAGTTCAGTAGATTTCACCTGTGCAGGTGAATATAAGAAGCTTTTTGTGCAAAATAAAAGATACGAGGCCTTCCGGATTATGTCTTAGGTAACCAGGTATTTCCTGTAATGGAATATGTTTGTTGGATTGATGCTGCTGTTGAGGTGTTCAACACAAGGTTTGTTCTCAATTGACATAAAATGGCTTATCATAAAGGGGAGAAGCAGGAGGGTCGAAGGATAAAACTATTGATATTTAAGGAGCATTTTCTACTGAATTGTTTGCATGTGACAGCAGTTAGCAGGGTGTGTATTTGTGTAATATGTGGAAAGAGGAGGATGCCAGAGAATGCTGGAAAACTGGCAAATACATTGAGACACCTTTGTATCAGCATTGCATGTAAAGATCATTCTTCTCATATTTAAAAACCAAACAACTTCATACTCCTTTTTTTCTGGAGGGGATGAGGATCTAGTTTTGCTGTCAGCCTCACAGTCCAGGAGAGAATCATATCATTGCTCCCTAGCTAAGGGACATTTTGAATTAAAAATCTCTTCCTAATTCCCTGGTGGAGAGCAGGAGAGATATAACTGTGTGAAACATAAATTCCAATGAAGGAAAAAAACAGTATTACTGTTTTCTAGGTGATGGAGGGAATTGCCCTTGCAATGTGAACAATAGGGAATAAAGACTAAGTATTCTTGTCTTCCTGTAGCTGTAGGGGAGGCACCAAGGGCATCTGTGCTGCCAGTGAGACTGCCAGCCAAGGACTGGGAGGCCTAGCTTCAAGGAGTGAGTAAATAAATAAATGAGGGCATGCTTTTCTTCTACAGTGAGTGAATAAAGGAGAGCTTACTATGTAGCTATGTTTTATTTCTGCCAAGCAGAGATCCTCAAGGCCTGTTTCAATTCTTCCACTGTTGTTACTCCACTGTACAAACTACCCTTGTTTTTCATTTGAGGAATTTATATTCCCAGATGCAGCAGGATTTCTAGGCAATATCGCTATAGCCTAAAATGATACAAAGAATTTGTGTAGCTAAAGAAACAAAACAGAATTGTCTTGGATGCAAGAGTGATTTATGTTCTTTTGCTTTCTTTTAAGTTCAGCTGACATTTTTCTTTGATTCTTCCATTCAAGTGTAGGCCTGGAAAGTTGAAAACATCCTGCCAGTACTTGCCCAGATAATATGTGGTCCAGGATCTGTTGGTGTATATTTACTCTCATGACCCGGAATGAAGAATTTTTCTCCTTATCAGGTGGTTAAACTTGGCATCTGTAAAGCTTATTATGTTGTCCCTGAATGCCAGTTTTCCCTAAGCTTTCCTGGAGTGAATTCTTGGACTGGTGCACAAACACTTTCCTGGTATCAAAGAATGGGTATATCCTACCCAATTCCCACTTCCCCCAGTGCTACCTTTTCTACCCCTTATTTCGTTTATACATATGGATAATTAGGGTGGGATGTGTTATCACCAACCTGAATGTTGTGGAAACAAATATTAAAACTTACGGAGATTGTTTCGAGCGCTGTGTGCTCTGCTCTTGAAACCATGCTATGTTCAAACTACGGAAGCAAGGAGGAAAAAATAAAACAGCAGCCTGATACTCTACCAGCAGCAGTGTGTTTAGCAGTGGCAAAGTTAAATGGCTTTCAAGGCACTTGCAGGTTTTCTTTAGCCAAGACTCGCTGTTCTGCTTTCCACATACACACACCCCCCCCTTCATTAGTTAAGATTCCTTTGGCCTCAGGAATTGCCATGCTCGCTGGCAAAAGGTTTTTGATTGTCTGCCACAGGCTAGTAGTAAGCTGTAATAAAAGGAAACACCTTTGTATTTCAATGACAAGCATGTGTTTCTCAGGCCCTTCCTGCATACTCCCTTCCTCACTGCAGGCTCTTCTGTTGCTAGCATGTAAGGGGAGAGGATGGCAGCATAGGAGAGTAGCTGAAATTGATCCTCCTCCAAGTGTCCCCTCTCACTAACGGGATGTTTTCAGGAGGCACGGATACCTGCTAGACCTGACAACGCTGATGACAGACAAGGTACTTTGATCTCATGCCATTCCTGGTGCCACTGAAATATTTAGGAGGCTGATCCTTCTAGGCTTGTGCTGTACTGCAGCTTTTGATAGCCCTGTGTCCCTACTGCTTAGTGAGCCTCCTTTGCTAACTAAATAGGAGGGAAAGTGAGGGATGCTTCTGCTCTTAGCCTTTCCATTTGTATTCCACGTGTAATTGAGTTTTGACATGCAGCTAATGGACAAAACCTTCAGATAAAGTGGCAGACAGATAATGCTGATGTAATGCACGGCAGCTGCTTTTGTCTATCATCATCCTGGAAATCTACTTGCCGATAGAAGATCATAGTTTCCTTTTGCTGTCATAGCCAGCTCTCTTAATGAAACGTAATCAAAGGTTTAGAAAAAGTAGCTGGGCAAAGTAGCTGGGAATGAAGATAAGGGACAACTCAGTCTGGTGAGTTTTCTCCTGCCCATACTGTTCCTAGTCTCGGGAACAGTGAAACTTAATAAACCTAGTGGTACAGTAATCAAGCACACTTCTCTTGGTGCACGACAGCTTTGCATACTGAAGGCAGACTGCTGTGCATGCATACGTACACAAAGATGATGCGTTATTTGCAGAGACTTAAAATTTTACACCATTCTTTGATGGTCTGAGTGTTAGGACTCATTTGATGGGTCATATTGAAAATGCCTCGCAAGAAATACACATTCAGATATCTTCCATTCAACTTTAAACAGACAATGTTGCATTAAACCCTAGTCTTCTTCACTGCCACTTTAGAACTAATAAGTGTATCAAAGCAATATATTTTCTTACACCATGCTAGTTTATTTTCAGTGATGAATCGATTTGTGCATGCATTCCAGGTACTTACTCTTTAGGTCTTTCGATACACACTACTGGCATTACCTACAGTGTGTTGGAGTAACTATTTTTAGATAACAATCTGCTAGATAGTTTGCCTTGTCCTCGTTCATTGGTTGCCTCCTGCATACTAGAGGGAACTGGGATACCTGAGTGTTGGTAGTGGAGAGAGTTTATGGCTTTGGAGGACAGGTAGCAGCTCTTTTTTGGAAAAAGTGAGATGGCCATTCACTTTTTTCCTCCATGCAGTTTAGGACTAGTGTGTTCACAGCAGCGAACCTCCCTCGCTCATCTTCTGTGCCCCTCTCAACAGAAAAGCCAGCATGGATTACCTGCGTTGAGGCATGGCACGTCAAACGCTGCTTTATATGATGTTTGATTGTACTGGTTGCTGGTGGCCTTTTTCATGATTTTTTGAAAATGTGTGTACTTCCTGAGAGCTGAATTGTCAAAGTCAGGTTGGAATGGAGTTTCAGCTTCGTAGTTTACTGAAGCTGGTTGCAGTTTACTGAAAGGTCTAGGCAAAAAGCATAAATCATTCTGTAATCTCGTGCTGACATATGGTATGTAAATACCATGATCCACCCAAAGGGTAGCCAGCATTATAAATGTACTTTCTAATCTCCTGCTGAAATGAGCACTCAGTATAATGCCGCTGTAATCTAATAGATATTAACAGCCTGAGAATGTACAGTAAGACCTTAATAATTCATTATTGTTCAATTGGCTCCATCTGACATGTAATTAGCATGATAAGGGTTGTGCCTCTTGCAGTCAAGCAACTAAGTGCATTAGTTTAATATTACTAGAATTTTTAAAGCCTTGACTTCTCAACAGAAATAGCCTACAAAATGTTAAGAAATTTTAAAAATCTAAACGTATTTTGAGTTGATGTGAAATGCAACAAATTTTCATAGGTGGGAAAAACCCCAGCATTTTGTTTTTTACAATTCCCATTCTAGATTCTCATATGCAGCCCTCCTGGTGTCGCCAAAATCTTTTGGATGTAGTTTTGGTTTACTCTGCCTGGATTCTCTTGTTGGTCCTCTCTTAGGCCAAAGTCATTAAAAAAACATTAGAAGTTGTTGCAATGTTGCCCACGATAGGCATAAAAGGGAAAGGCTTATTCCACAGGTATTACAGGTTTACTTGGATGCACAAGCTTACCCTGGAGCCTTTGGATGCATGTGCCGTGCAGACCCATCCTAGTCACCTGGGATAGAAACCACAGACATCCTCTCCAGGATGAACAACTGAGCTGATGAAGCAATCAAATAGAAGGTAGTTAAGGTACAAACAGGAGACCAGAGAGCAGGAATCCCGCCCAAGCTGTGGAAAAGCAATTTTCTGATGTGGTGGTTATGGAAAAGAAGAAATATTTTTGTCTCAGTACAGAGCCGACAAGTGAATAAGGGAATGACATTGATAACAAGGTAAAATCCTGCATATTGTGGAAGAACGTGTTTGTGCAGATGAATGCACCTTATTTATTTATTTAAGAAATAAAAGTTGGGCAGAATTTTTTTTTTTTTTTTTCCCCCTCAAAGTACCCTCCTGAAATGCTAAGATTCTTGAGCAGATTTTTTTATACAACTAACTGATAGCCTGGCCTATGTGGTTCAAGAGGCTTACCTTGGGGGCAAGATTAGTGCAGGACCTATAAACTCCCTTAGTTTCTTTGCATAGTATGACATGCCAAATTCCTACAAACAGTGATGTAAAATGTTATTTTTTTTTTGGTTAAGGAGCTGCTGATGGACCTAAAATAACTTGCTTATAAGGCTTGAATGTATTAATCTCCATTTTGGTAGCAAAATCGAGTATGGAATAGCATGCCTACCTATTAGGAATCCCCCAGGAAGAAAAGAACCAGTGTACGCATGTAAAAGTAGAGGTTTTACAAAATGTTACAGAGTGCTACAAAATGTTTGCAGAGCTGTGGGAGTTTCTGGAATGAGTTGCCCAGGATCAGTGGCAAGTCTCAGAGTAGAAACAAATGCAGGAACCAGTTAACTTACTTAAACAGCATTTTATAATCCAGGACAACAATGTGCTGTTCTGTGACTCAAAGCAGAATTTCTTTGCAGACTGATTCATTATATCAGTGAGTCTGATGGTCTGGTCGTTTGTCACAATTAAGTAATAATTTATTCTACCTCCCAAGGAATGAAATTTGGCTGCTGTGTATAAAACACTGACTCACCAGTATTTGGAAAACAAAGTACATGTTTTCTGTATTTTGTTGCCCATCAGAGTCAGTGAATTATGTTTTGGCCACTCCATGGCAACTACTTCACTGGAGTGTGAATTAATATTGCAGCTCCAGGAGTTTGGTGTTAAAATCGGTTCTCACCGGACATCTTAGTCAGACCATTGTTTTGAATAGTATCATGACCCAGCCGTCTCAGAAACTCCTTGAATACATCCACAGTTCAATTTTTTTCTAAAACTAAGACGGTTGCAACTTCCACTTAGTTGCAGAGCATGATGTAAAAACTCCTCATCCAATTCAGTCTACAAAAGAATGTATTTTCATGCTTTAGATAATTTCAGTCAATCTTGGAAAATGTAGCTATACAACATACAAAAGTGACAACTCCAACACTCACACACAATATGAGCTGTTGAGAATCACTGTTATATTTACCAACATTTCCATATCCCTGTCAGCCAGTTCTGCACAACTGTTGTCCTCATCATAGTCAGCAGCACCAACAGAGATTCCTCTCCTCTCCCCAACTCCTCCCCGGGGGTGATTCTCCTCCTCCAGTTTTACCCTTAGTGCGGTGTCAGTGGGAAGCGTTCCTCATCCCTCGTCTTTGGGAAATGGGGGACATTGCAGCTTCCTTCCTCCATCGGGAACCGTGTGTTCAGGTTGCCAGCCGAGCTACCTGAGATTGTGCCAGAGCGACTGTGTCTACCACAGAATTGACAAGCTTCCTTCCAAACCTCGGGTTGCTTACCTGTCTCCTGGCATACGCTCCAAAGGCCCTCATGTCAGAATTTATCCTCCATCCTGGATGCATCCAGGAATATTTTTAAAATTTGCCATTTGAGTGCCGAAGTCGCAGCTTTCTCTTGTAACTTTGCACATAAAACTTTAGTGACGACTCTCAGAAACTTTTGAGACCTGACGTATTAAAAAAACTCGCCACGCTGTGAACTAAAGTGGCTTTGGTTTTAACAGACAAGGGATGGAAAGCCCAGTAGGAAGAAGAGAGCCTAAGGTGGAGGTTAAATGGTTCACGTAGGGGCCTGCAGGGAGTCTGACAAACAAGGGGAAGCAGTACATCCAAGTGCTACAGCCATATAGTTAAAACTGCAGGACCATCTGTAATTTACCTGCTCATGCTAAATAATAATCCTCAAAAAAAAATCTTATTTTTGAGATTTGTCCAATTTAACACACTGAAAAAGGATTCTCCTTCCAGGATGAAATCCGTTCTGCTTTTGAAAACTGAGGAAGCCCCTAGGAATAAAGTTTATTTAACTATGTGGTATTTCTGCTTACAGATTGGGTGAAGTCGGAGGTGAGCTTGCCTTTCCCAGTTCACGCAGTGGGGTTCCAGACTTAGATAAATCATGGAATGAAGATCAGGAAAGGCAAAGCTTGCAGGCAGTCGTGGCGGTCATCTGCCTAAGCTCCCTTTCCCTTTCTAAGCTGGTGTGAGCAAGTCCCTCTACCTCACTAAGCCTGGCTTTGTGACGGTGCCTCCTTTCCTTACTGGCATTGGAAGGGGAGTGCCCCTCGGCCTCAGGACAAGGGGAGCAGTCCCACTGGTGTCAGCCTTTCGAGTGCATTTTTGAGGGCCGTTTGAGCCAATTTGCTACCACTCTTGTAGTTGACTTTATACGTGATAAAATGGCACGGTGTCTTACTGAAGATGGGGATCTCAGGAGATTAAGAGCTAGACAGGGGAGGGGAAAAGCTAATCTATCAGCAGATCACTTGGAAACGTGCCCCTGCACATCCGAGCCACTATCCTGGGTGCTGCTGCACTTTGGTGAATTAGACTGTAGTGTCTGCTAGTCCTCAGGTTGCATTCTCCTCAAGTTACTCCTAGATCTGGGCAGAGGAGCATCTCCAGACAGTGGTGAAATTTAAACAAAGTCAAAGGGGGAGAAAACAAAACGGAAGATCTGACACAGGAGGGAGTCCAGGGTTAGGTCTTCAAGGGTAAACTTTTTTCTGATGTTTTATTGGACATCTTACTTGCTGTAGACAGAAGGTAAAGCTTTCTTTAACCTTTCTGGAATTAGAAACGTAGGCGTAATTTGAGTCTGGATTTTTTTTATGCACCCTTCTGTCATATGAGCTACGACCTACATCTCTGCACTGAAACAGGGAGACTTCGGGAAGGATGGGGTGGGGCAGGGAAGAAGGAAGAGCTCGGTTTGTTTCTGAGACACAGACCCCTGGAGCCAGGAGGGACTGTGAGGGGCTGCGAGTCAGTGGGGCCTGGGATGGGAGGAGGGTCCCTGCCTTTGGCGATCCAGACGCTTCCCAAACCTCCTACCCTGAGACTTCACAGACTCCCTGGTGGTCTGCTCCAGCATTTCACCCTTAGAAATTTCCTCCTACTATCCACTTAGATCCCTTCTGCTGCAATTTAAGCTTGCTGTTCAGGGGGCTGTTTGCAATGGACAGGGAGGACAAATTATTCCCTTTTTTCTCTGCAGAAAGGTTTTTGCTACGTCCCAGTTGTTTTTTCCTCAGGCTGTTCAATTCTCTGAAGTTCTGCTTGGCGGTCATTTTTAGAGATCTCCAGGGCTGTTTGGATTTTTTTCTCTGTCACTGGGGAGTTGGGAGCTAAAAATGGTCACAATTTGTTCACTGATGTCTGGAGTGCTGAGTGGAAGGGATGGATGACATCATGTAGCTTGTATCAGGAAATCTAGTTTTATTCTAGTATGATATTTCCCATCTTTCCAATGGCATAACTTTGCTGATTTGTCTTTTGGCCCATTTTGCCTTTGCTCTATTGATATGGTTTTTTGCTTACACGTAGAAGCTTGCCCACAGCCTCACTGCATTGCAGCTGATTTTTCTCAGACCATTTCTCCAACTTATTAAAATAATTTTTAACTCTTACCCTGTTTTCTAATGTACTTTTAGTTCCTCTCAGCTTTGCATCACCTGCACGTTTACTAAGCACATTCTGTCCCATTGCTGGCTTCGCCAATGAAAAATCGGAATTGAATGGAAGCAGGACCGTTCACTGAATACGTTTTGATGTTTTGATGTGAACCACTTTCCAGGGTGTGATTTTTTTTTCCCCTGACCAATTCAGGACCTACTCCAAAGCACTTTTATCTAGACCACATTCCTTTGCTTATGAAAACATCCTGCAAGTCTGAACATGTCACTGTTGGAGCTGATACCAGCAGCCTGCTAATGCTGTCAAAAAACCATCCTGATCTTCACCTTCTGGCTGATGAGCCTTGTCCCAGACCAAGTCGCCTTGCTAAATAGGCAGAAAATGAACCAGTGAGAAATAGGCAAAGAGGTGCCTGTGGGTTCAAGCAGGTTGACCTGGTCTAGCAAAGAGTCCAGGGAGCAGTGGAGCTGCTACCGGGGGGGGGGGGGGGGGGGGGGGGGGGGGGGGCGGGGGGGATGATACTCCACCACAATGCATAACCTCCCACTGAGCCAGCGTCAGGGCCTTGCCAAAGCCTGGAGGTGG